TACAGGACTATATGACTTGATGTGTACTGGACCATACAACCTGATGTGTACTGGATTATATGACCTGATGTATACAGGACTATATGACCTGATGTGTACTGGACTATATAACCTGATGTATACAGGACTATATGACCTGATGTATACAGGACTATATGACCTGATGTGTACTGGACTATATGACCTGATATGTATAGGACTATATGACCTGATGTGTACTGGACTATATGACCTGATGTGTACTGGACCATACAACCTGATGTGTACTGGACTGTATGACCTGATGTGTACAGGACTGTATGACTTGATGTGTACAGGACTGTATGACCTGATGTGTACTGGACTGTATGACCTGATGTGTACAGGATTATATGACCTGATGTGTACTGGACCATATGACCCGATGTGTACAGGACTATATGACCTGATGTGTACTGAACCATATGACCCGATGTGTACAGGACTATATGACCTGATGTGTACAGGACTATATGACCTGATGTGTACTGGACCATACAACCTGATGTGTACTGGACTATATGACCTGATGTGTACTGGACTATATGACCTGATGTGTACTGGACTATATGACCTGATGTGTACTGGACTATATGACCTGATGTATACAGGACTATATGACCTGGTGTGTACTGGACTGTATGACCTGGTGTGTACAGGACTATATGACCTGATGTGTACTGGACTATATGACCTGATGTGTACTGGACTATATGACCTGATGTATACAGGACTATATGACCTGATGTGTACTGGACTGTATGACCTGGTGTGTACCGGACTATATGACCTGATGTGTACAGGACTATATGACCTGATGTGTACTGAACCATATGACCCGATGTGTACAGGACTATATGACCTGATGTGTACTGGACTATATGACCTGATGTGTACTGAACCATATGACCCGATGTGTACAGGACTATATGACCTGATGTGTACTGGACTATATGACCTGATGTGTACAGGACTATATGACCCGATGTGTACAGGACTATATGACCTGATGTGTACTGGACTATATGACCTGATGTGTACTGAACCATATGACCCGATGTGTACAGGACTATATGACCTGATGTGTAAAGGATTATATGACCTGATGTGTACTGAACCATATGACCCGATGTGTACTGGACTGTATGACCTGATGTGTACTGGACTATATGACCTGATGTGTACTGAACCATATGACCCGATGTGTACAGGACTATATGACCTGATGTGTACAGGACTATATGACCCGATGTGTATTGAACCATACAACCTGATGTGTACTGGACTATATGACCTGATGTGTACTGGACTGTATCACCTGATGTGTACTGGACTATATAACCTGATGTATACAGGACTATATAACCTGATGTGTACAGGACTATATGACCTGATGTGTACAGGACTATATGACCTGATGTGTACAGGACTATATGACCTGATGTGTACTGGACTATATGACCTGATGTGTACAGGACTATATGACCTGATGTATACAGGACTATATGTCCTGATGTGTACAGGACTATATGACCTGATGTATACAGGACTATATGACCTGATGTGTACTGGACTATATGACTTGATGTGTACAGGACTATATGACCTGATGTGTACTGGACCATACAACCTGATGTGTACTGGACTATATGACCTGATGTGTACTGGACTGTATGACCTGATGTGTACAGGACTGTATGACCCGATGTTTACTGGACTCTATGACCCGATGTGTACAGGACTATATGACCTGATGTGTACAGGACTATATGACCTGATGTGTACAGGACTATATGACCCGATGTGTACAGGACTATATGACTTGATGTGTACAGGACTATATGACCTGATGTGTACAGGACTATATGACCTGATGTGTACAGGACAATAAGTACTTATTGTTCATTTTAAATTTTTGCGCATTATATTACTATTTGATAGTTATTTTATTAATTTATCTAGTTACTCACTTCATGGACGTATATGTCATATACGTCCCTGCTCACTTCAAATGCTTGGGAAGATTTACCCAAAAGTGTGTCCAGTAAAATATTAGGCCCAACAACAAACTATTTGGATAGTCGAGAATTTCATGAACATATTGGACATTTTTGAGAATGGCCTCATTCACACAGCAGCCATTCCAGAATAATTGACCCACTATTGTATGAAAAGTGATGAAAAATAAAAAAAAGTTTTTCTATTCAGCAAATGTATTTAAAATCGAAGTAGAGTATTACGGGAGTGATTTGACAAGTTTTCACACACACGACTCTTATCAATCAAAAAATATCTGAACCACAAAATAGTTAACAAAATTTGTTGTTATGGAGGTTAGAAAAGATTTTATTATCCACTGGTGAAAAAGTAATGGATTTATCGTACCTTTCTTTTCTGATTTCTTTAAAGTACTTGATATGAATAAAGACTAGAAAACATTTTATGCATATCGTTCATTATACACACTGTGACAATGAGAAATCGCATGAAACATTACAACATTTTTCATGTAATTTTATTATTCGTCAAAACAACAACATCATGCACCTTCATTATGCCATTATTGGCATCAATCAATCCATTATTTCATTCTTTGATATCATTGGGTATTTTAAAAAGTGTCATAATTGTGCAAAACGATTATTTGATTGCGCAACAAGTTTTATATACAGAAGGATTTTAGTTACGGAGGTCAGAAGGTAACAACACAACCAACCGGTAAAGAAACTAACGGAATAACATAAAGTTCTTTAGAACAACTGGAACGAAAAAAAATCATTTAACAATAACTGGACATATTTACAAATTTTCAGACAAAATTATATACGTTTCAAAGGGATATCTTAAAACGTTACGGAAGTCAATTTGACATTCGATAAAGACATTATATGTTCAAATTATATGCTTCAGAAACATACCAAAATCTTACTTTTAGTTCATATTTGTATATTTATGAGATTTACTTTCTGTATTCACACTGCAAAATTGTGGAAATGATTTTAGGCCAACTATATACTTTCGTTACGGAAGTTAGAATTTGCTAATTCCTATATGAGGCAGATCGAAACCACGAAAGCGCCACAAAATGTCACGTGCACTGATTGGTTATATTTCAAATTTTTGATTAATTAGTTCCAAGTCAAGATCATGAATTTTTAGCGATCTCTCGCGACTGCCAACGAGGACTGGCGGCGTGCACAGAATATGCAAAATATTCTGCTTTTCAATCCATATTTGATCCGGTTTGGAAGGCTTTTTGAACGTGGTTGATACTCTGCCAGATTTCTCCAGAAAGTCAACAAAAACATCGCCGTCGTTTTCATCTACTTCGATGACCTGACCAATGTACCATATTGTGTTGTAAATGGCAGCAACTCAATCGTCTATTGAAATTTCAACTGCCAAGTCGCCATCATGTTCACCATTCTTTGTAGACCCCCCTGGTAGGTCTTGCTCGTCCATGACTACATCGGCTTCTTTAGGTTCGTTAGTTCCAATTTCTGTATGTTCTGTTTCCTTTGTTGGTTTGTCGTTTGTTTCTTTGGTAGTCGTTTCTTGATTTGTCACTACATGGACTGTCGATGTTTGATTTCTGTTTTTTACTGGAGCAAGATTGTGTTTTGTGTAACCGTCACATGATGTTGAGACAACGTCCGCTAGACATTGGTCACAATAGTAAGATATGTTCCTGGTATACACTTCCATTGGTACATATGACAACACATAGTGAACTTTAAAAGTTCCTGGGACTGCACGTGTAGTTGGACGTTGGGAGAGTAGTGCCTTGGCTTCGTCGTAGTCTGACAGCATGTAGAGAACGTTTTTTCTGTTACGGATGTCAGACGTTACGGAAGTCAGATTTCAGCATTGTTATTTCCATTTCACAGATCATAACAAATAATATCAGGCCAGTTTCGTGTTTTTTTTAAACTTTACTTAACTTTAACTCAAATATATGCAAAACTTTTGCTCTCTGTAGTTTTATATTCAATTTAAAGCCGTTACGGATGTCAGGCCCTTAAATGCGACATTGCAATGTGTTGTATATATTGATCAGCAGAACGTGTTTGACAAACCTTTTTTTTAAATAAACGCAATGGCGATCGTAAGTGATGTATAACGAGTGATTTTAGTGAAGTTATTTAGCAACAAATCCAGTAAATATAGAAACACCGGTTATAGTTTTAGGCGTTACGGATGTCAGACCGTCTAAGGCGACAATGTTGCATTAGGTTTTAAAAACAGTAGCGTAGAGAGGGCTTGTAAAAAAGTATTTTGTTGTCATGTAACGTATTTTTAGCAACCGAAACAGTACTTGATTTATGCATACCTCGCCACAACATTGTGAGCTTCAACTGTCAATATCAAAGACAACTAAAGCGACCTTGCAAAATCGTTTATTATTGTCTATTTACTATAATATAATACCATCCGTATCTGAAAAATATAAGTGTTAGTTGTGAACAAGGTAATTAATTTTGTCAGACAAAACCTAGAACAAATTGTAGGAACAGGAAAGTTGTTGTAAAATATTTATTTTGTCGACACTGCGACACAAGGTAGTTTCAACCTCTTCTAAGTGGGTCAATTATTCTGGAATGGCTGACAGATCTTCATGTTGTTTGCTGTGTAAGGAATTTAATGAGTGAACAATAGATAACATCACAAATATGTTTTCTCTTAGTAGTAACCACAACAGGTGCAGAGCAAACGTATTATTTGATTAACAAAAATCTGCAGAGATCCCACCCATTCTCTCCTTTTTATGCAGTTGTACTTTGGAAGTAAAGCATTTTACGGTAATTTGCTTAACATTATATATCATATTACCTTGAAACTCTAATTACAAAGCTCGAGAACATTAAGTCAAATAAGTAGGGTTTAATCAATATGTATGTAATATACGCGACCGTAGAAAGTGCTTAACAAGAGTTATGTACCCTACTTTGAGTTCTCCGCTAGGAGAAAATGGCTGCATAAGCTGTCTGCGTTACTCATTCCTTTCATTTAAGGCAGTGTAATCTATGTATAACTGTCGAAATGTCGTTATTTGAAGGTTTGAGCTACAGCAGCGATAAAAATGTCATTGTGATAGACATCGGAACAGCATACACAAAGTGAGTTTTTTTAAAGTCTTGGTTTCTGTGCTGCGCTTACTTGCCTGTTCGTAATCCACATAGGAAATCAGTTTGAGAAAACTTATAATCCAAGAAAGTTGTTGAATGATTTGGAGTTTTTTCCTAACTGTAATGTTCCAACACGGACTTGCAATGTTCTAGTCTAAGTCCGTGATTCCATTGTACTAAAACGTAAGAGGCTGCTAGTCAGAGGAGTTATTGTCAAACATTACCAGAAGGCGCCTGTCATAAGTTTCTATATTTGATTAAGTCCTTACCAATAATGAACACGTTGGTGAAAGGTAGCACTAAACTTAGTCTTTACTCCACAATAGGGTTTTTTTCTTTGAGCAATAGAGTGACCGGCTAGACCGAAGGGTCACTAGTTCAAACTACACCGGTTCTAGGTTGTTTTTTCTTCCGCTATCGTCTGGAAATCGGTTCCGGACCGTTATGTATTTCGGAACGGTCATTTTGTCGAGCCAAATCACAAGAACTATTGACCATCGTGACCTTACATACGGATAGTTTTATGTTGCTGTAACATGTGATTTAGTGATTTCATCGGAAATAGAAGTGCAGTTACATGTCCGATACACATGACAATCATTTCAGGGGAGCGAATTTTAGGTTGTATCTGTGGATATTTAAAAAAAAAATGCTGGTCTTTCATCACCGCTCGGTTTTTTTATTTAAATCTTACAGTATGAACACATTTCAAGTCATATGTTTGTTCTTTCGCATAGCATGGCTATCAAGAAATAGTTCTTAATGGATCCGAAACAAATGGGCCAAGGATACATTAATGGTCAGGCTCGGAACATCCTTGGTTTTTAGAGACCCCAACACGGCCTATTATCACAGAAATTTTTTTAAGAGCCATAAAGTGCTTTTAAAAATCATTGCACAAAATGTCATTTTTTGTTCACAGGCTGAGACATTTACACCTATAAGCATCATCTTAAAAAAAAATACATGCTGTCTAGTTTTTCATGATTATTATAAAAAGAATATATCATGCAGGGTTTTATCATACATCCCCATGTTTTAGTACAAATTATAATCATGCCATTCTTCAATCTTGTCCCTGATCATTTATAACTCCAAGGGACCATTTGTCCAAAAAAGGTGAGAAATTCTAAAAGTGGTGTGGAAAAAATGGTAAAAACACATTTCCTGGAGAAATTGTGCTCATACTGGTATCATATCATATCTGTATCCCCCATCATAAAAGTATAATGATACTTTTTCTGGTCATCATAAAAGTACCCCCCTCCCCCATAGTATTTGTATCCCCCCTCAACATCTTTTTCATTGACATTGTGCAAGGTTAATTTGAGGAAGACAATCACAAAAATAGTTATAGATAACTGCAGGTGTCGTGGTGTCTTAAGTAGGTAATTAGTTAATGACACCTGGCTATGGTCAAGCAGTACAGGTATTATATAACAGGAGAGCAGGGATCACAACCTGCCAGAGAAGAGACCTGCTGGGTACAGGTAGATTTACCTGTGTTATATAACAGGGGAGCAGGGATCACCCCTGCCAGAGAGGAGACCTGCTGGGTACAGGTAGATTTACCTCTGTTTCAGTCTATTACACTTAATAAAGATGCTGATAAACTTAACTCCTCTGTAATGATTTATCCTATATATAGGGGTATACATATATGATAGCCCTCAGAAAAGTATCCATGGAGAGATTTATCCTATATATAGGGAAATACATATGTATGATGACTATCAGAAAAGTTTCTGGGTGAGATTTATATATATAGGGGTTTACATATATGATGGCCATGAGAAAAGTATTTAAGGAGAGGTTTATATTTAACAATATATAGCAATGCCTGGCATCAGGAGATAAACGCAATCATGATGTTAGAATTGGCACTTGATTCTCGCCCCATCCCCAGGGACTTAGTTTCCTTGTTATATCTGTGAAGCTGTTAAGATCCCTACCCAATAACCATGCATATATAACAGTGTTGGGTATCAAGAGGCTCTTGGATGTGGTCCAGCCTCTCTGGACTTAATATCTGGATGATACCTTTGAAACAGTTGAAATACCCACCATATATATATATAGAATTGCTTGGCATCAAGAGATAAACACATTTTTATGTAAAAATTGACTCCTGGGTGTGACACACCACAAGGGCCATTATTTCTTATGTAACATGCAAGCATATCTATCAAGTGTACCTTATTGTAACCTTTAAATTTCAAAATAATACCCTATTTCTGTACAGGTAAGTAATTACCTACAGATACACAAGTTGTTATAGACTGCGAATCTTGGCTATATAAAGACAATTAAGTAAGCCCTACTCCACCAGGGTACTGCCTGCAGGTGTAATCAATTAATTGGGACACCTGTACAGGAACATCTGGTATCTGTGGTCGACTGACTGACCAACATCCGATGTATGATGTTTATTTCATATTACCCAAATGGGCAATGGTCATGTCAGAAAATACAAATAGTTGAAATGTTGAATTGTTAATTGAATATCCAAGAAATACAGAGTAATACAATAACATAGTAAAGAAGCATTATAACCAATATATCATATACAGAATAGATTACTCATGTACTATTGTAATACCAAACATTACATAACCAGTTGCTAACATAGTGTTCAATAAATATACTGATGTGTACAGTGTATGAGACAGTAATTGACAAGACACTGTTGGGTATTGTAATCCTAAATACATCAAGATAGAAAATAATGTACAAGATAGTGATGAAATTATGACTGAAACAGGAGCCATAGATGTTTGAGAGACTAGAGGACTTCTGATACAATAACATTTAATGTGCTGGTTGAAAAAAAAACCAAATCTTCTGTTGTTTCAGATGTGGCTTAGCTGGAGAAACTGGACCAAGGTGTATTATTCCAAGTGAAGTAAAAAATGCCAAATCAGGAAAGGTACTGTTTACTTAGGATGTGATTGATACTGTATATCAAACTGAGAGAACCTGTCAGATTTAACATAGTTGTAAGGAATTGGGATGTGTTAAGTGATATACAGTAATTGCTACAAAGTAATAAGGGAGATAGGATGTGTTTAGTAATATATACAATAATTTCTCCAAAGGAATAGGGGAGATAGGATGTGTTTAGTAATATATACAATAATTTCTCCAAAGGAATAGGGGAGATTGGATGTGTTTAGTAAAAGATTATAATCATAGGAAAGTTGATTTGTCAATTTACATTTATTTTTCCAGATTGTCAATTTGTCGGACTTTGAAAAAAAATATGAGCTGTTTGAGAACATCAAAGATTTTCTGTTTGTCCTGTTTTTTAGGTAAGTTATGACTGTATAGTAGATGCTTATATTTTGTTTGGTACTTTAAACTCGTTCTTATTCACCACTAATACCATATCAGTTGGTATATATTTCAAACTTAGGTGTTGGTTTAACACTCACTTATGCAAAGAGATAGAATTGTGTAAAATGTGTTTAATTCTTCCAGAAATACTATCTATAAGCTATCATTTTACATCATTGTTGATTGATAAATATTTAAATACTGTTTCTAGGTCTCTATATTTAGAACTATTGATGTGCGGCTGTATGTTGAAGGTCTCTATATTTAGAATCTATCAGTGTGAGGCTGTATGTTGTAGGTCTCTATATTTAGAATCTATCAGTGTGAGGCTGTATGTTGTAGGTTTCTATATTTAGAATCTATTGATGTGAGGCTATATGTTGAAGGTTTCTATATTTAGAATCTATTGGCGTGAGATTGTATGTTGTAGGTATATTTAAAATCTGTTCGTGTGAGACTTTATATTTTGAATTTGTTGATGTGAGATTGCTGGGTTTCTTTTTGTAGACATTTGCTTCTGAGTCCGAAGAACAAGCGAGTGGTTATTTGTGAGTCCCTTCTGTGTCCTGATGTGTTCAGAGAGACATTGGGCAAAGTTCTTTTCACTCACTATGAGGTATGCCATTATCCATCAAAGGTTCCTGTATAAACATTTAAGTTTTTTAATTCTTTATGTTGTTCAATCAGAAAGATCTCAGATTTTTCCTTTCCTGTCAGATCATCCCTGGTGGAGGCTGGCTGAGACTGTTTCGTACTTGATTGATTATAAAAAGCCAACTTGTTAAGTTTTTAAAAGAGTTTTAAAGACCTTAAGATTTATTCTGATAAAGTATAATAATAAATCTGCACATTTAAACAAACTGTTTGTGATTTTTAGGTTGCCACGGTGATGTTTGCCTCCAGTCATGTCATGTCACTAATGACTCTTGGGTCCACAGTTGGACTTGTGATGGACATTGGCTACACAGAAACCCTGGTTGTTCCCGTATCCTTAGTTTAGCCTAAGGAGGCATTAAAATATGTAACTCAACAGAGTCAGCATGGAGAAATAAAGACTTCAAGAAATCAGATGCATAATTGAGTTTTCAACAAAAGTGTTCCTCTGTCTGTAAACAATTCTTGTTATCACTATTTCTCCAGAAGTACTGAATGGATCTTTCTCAAATTTATTATTAAGGTTCTCCTTTCCCACTAGTACCCATTAGATTCTTGGAATGATTAGAAAACAAAATGGCTGGTGGGTAGTCAACTTGAATTTTGACATTGAAAATTTGTTATCACTATTTCTAGAGAAACAATGGATAGATCTATTTCAAATTCCATATCAGTTGTGCCACTTAGACTTTGGGAGTGATCAGAAAAAGAAATTGGTTGAAAGGTGGCCACCTTGGATTTTGACTATGAAATTTTTTTTTATCACTATTTCTGCATAAGTACCAGACGGGGCTCTTTCAAATTTCATCTGTAGGTTTCCCTCGGTCCCTAGTTGTGCCCTCTTGCTCTTGGGATGGGTAAGGAATAATGGCTGACTGGTTAGATTTGAACTATGAAAGATTTATTTTTTTGCTTTTACTTGAAAAGTACTGGATGGGTCATTCCTAAATTTTATATGCAAGTTTCCCGTGGTCTGTCATTGTGCTTGTTTGATTTTGGGACTGATCAGAAAACCATATGGCTGACAGAAGGCCATCTTGGATTTTGACTATGAAAGTTTATTAAAGATATTTCTTGAGAAGTACTGAATAGATTTTTCTCCGATTCCATATGTATGTTCCCATAGGTCTCCAGATCTGCATTTCTGTTTTAGGGACTGATCAGAAATACCAAGTAACAGATCGGCAACTCTTGGATTTGGCAGTTCAAGATTATTGTTGCTTTTTTATTAGAGGAGTTTTCAAATTTTATATAATTTAAAGCAAACCTAGGAGAAAGAATAGAAAAGAAGGGAAATTATCAATACTTCAAAAAACATACAAAGGCTAAACAATGGTGGGCACCAACATCCCTCTGGGAGCTCTTTTTAGCATTTGTTATTTTACAAATTATTTTGAAAAGGAAGAAAATGATATATAGGCTGTTTCACACGTCACCTTGTTTATACAGCTCTTTATAACCTTAACTTGATACAGGTATATGAAGGCATTCCTGTGGTGAAAGCGATTCAGTGTATTCCACTAGCAGCCAAAGCTATACATGAGTATGAAACCCCAATTGTTCTTTTAATATAATATAATTGTAAAACAGTTATCTATTCTTTAATCTGCTGATGTTAGATAAGATCATTTGTTACATCCATATTCTTTGTCATCCTGAGTGCTTGGATTAAACTTCGATGTGTTGTGCAGCTAGAGGCCTTTGTGAATACTGAATTTGCGCAGAGTTTTAATTTATACTGTAGTACTTTTGTAAAATATCGGATTGAGAAATAATTTCTCATATCCATTATCAAATGATGTCAATTACATTGCTACATACTGATTACGATTTTACAGACTGGATTTGTTCTTTTCAAAAAACAATGTTTTTCATTCCAACAGAAAAATAGAAAGTCTCCTATTGGATTCTGCAACAGTGATGACAAATACCAGAGAGGAATGTCCTCTATCTAGTCTACCAGGTAATATATTGGGTTATCATGTCACTGGTATGGTATTGTGTTATCAAGTCACGGGTACGGTATTGTGTTAACAAGTCACTGGTACAGTATTGTGTTAACAAGTAACTGGTATGGTATTGTGTTATCAAGTCACTGGTATGGTATTGTGTTATCAAGTCACGGGTACGGTATTGTGTTAACAAGTCACAGGTATGGTATTGTGTTAAAAAGTCACTAGTACAGTATTGTGTTAACAAGTCATTGGTACAGTTTCAGAGAAGAATGTCTTTTTTTAATTTTCCAAGGTTTGAATTCTATATTAGTACAGAATGCTTCAGTTGATACCTGATCTGAGCTACTCTCTTATTCTCCTGACATTCTTGAAATATGATTTTCTGAGTTTCAGAAAATTTCAGTCTTAAATGTGTGCCTTCATCAGTAGTTTTGTTTACATCCTGTACATGTTTGTACAATTTTTTCTTTATTTTCAGATTGTTTAAATAACCAAATTTTAGAAGATATAAAAGGTAAGGTGAAAGGGAGTTAATTATTGGTAGCTGAAAATGAATATTACTTTTGTTTGATAGCAGTTAAACTTGTAAAGATAACATAGGCATACGTTTTCCAACTCTTAAGGATTCCAACTCTCTTGAGTGTTACGTGTTGACACAGACATACATCTGAGGTATCAGACTTTCATGATCCTACTCCAAAGGATTCCAACTGTTTAAATAGTTTTGTGTTTCGTTTATGAAACTACCACAGAAAAAGATTTATTGGAAATTTCACAGTAACATTATCCTGCTCATCTAACCATAAAGTGTTTGTGATAGATATTTACTTTCTGCCTTATGGTCATGTTAATAAATATGAAATAATTTTCATTATGGTGTCTTGGTTATAGTGTGATGCTATTTTGTGATTAACAATGTGATATCTTGGTTGTAGTTCGTTGTTGTTTTGTGACAAACCTGAAGAGATCTAAAGCCATCCAGGAAGTTGTAATCCATGGCGCAGATGAGTCACTGGTAAGTTACTCCTGGATCAGCTGTGTTAACAAGTCACTGGTAAGGTACTCCAAGATCAACTGTGTTAACTAGTCACTGGTAAGTACTCGTAGATCAGCTGTGTTAACAAGTCACAGGTAAAATACCCCTAGATCAACTGTGTTAACTAGTCACTGGTAAGTACTCGTAGATCAGCTGTGTTAACTAGTCACTGGTAAGTACTCCTAGATCAACTGTGTTAACTAGTCACGGGTAAGTACTCCTAGATCAGCTGTGTTAACAAGTCACTGGTAAGGTACCACTAGATCAGTTGTGTTAACAGGTCACTGGTAAGTTACTCCTGGTAAGTTACTCCTGGATCAACTTTGTTAACAAGTCACTGGTAAGTACTCCTAGATCAACTGTGTTAACAAGTCACTGGTAAAATACCCCTAGATCAACTGTGTTAACAAGTCACTGGGAAGTTATTCCTGGTAAGTACTCCTAGATCAACTGTGTTAACAAGTCACTGGTAAGGTACTCCTAGATCAGCTGTGTTAACAAGTCACTGGTAAGGTACTCCTAGATCAGCTGTGTTAACAAGTCACAGGTAAAATACCCCTAGATCAACTGTGTTAACTAGTCACTGGTAAGTACTCGTAGATCAGCTGTGTTAACTAGTCACTGGTAAGTTACTCCTAGATCAACTGTGTTAACAAGTCACTGGTAAGGTACTCCTAGATCAGCTGTGTTAACAAGTCACTGGTAAGGTACTCCTAGATCAGCTGTGTTAACAAGTCACTGGTAAGTACTCCTAGATCAACTGTGTTAACAAGTCACTGGTAAAATACCCCTAGATCAACTGTGTTAACAAGTCACTGGGAAGTTATTCCTAGATCAACTGTGTTAACAAGTCACTGGTAAGTACTCCTAGATCAACTGTGTTAACAAGTCACTGGTAAGGTACTCCTAGATCAGCTGTGTTAACAAGTCACTGGTAAGGTACTCCTAGATCAGCTGTGTTAACAAGTCACTGGTAAGTACTCCTAGATCAACTGTGTTAACAAGTCACTGGTAAAATACCCCTAGATCAACTGTGTTAACAAGTCCTAGATCAGCTGTGTTAACAAGTCACTGGTAAGTACTCCTAGATCAACTGTGTTAACAATTCAATTGTTAGGTACCCCTAGATCAACTGTGTTAACAAGTCACTGGTAAGGTACTCCTAGATCAACTGTGTTAACAAGTCACTGGTAAGTACTCCTAGATCAACTGTGTTAACAAGTCACTGGTAAGGTACTCCAAGATCAGCTGTGTTAACAAGTCACTGGTAAGGTACTCCTAGATCAACTGTGTTAACAAGTCACTGGTAAGGTACTCCTAGATCAACTGTGTTAACAAGTCACTGGTAAGTACTCATAGATCAACTGTGTTAACTAGTCACTGGTAAGGTACTCCTAGATGAGCTGTGTTAACAAGTCACTGGTAAGGTACTCCTAGATGAGCTGTGTTAACAAGTCACTGGTAAAATACCCCTAGATCAACTGTGTTAACAAGTCACTGGTAAGTACTCCTAGATCAACTGTGTTAACAAGTCACTGGTAAGGTACCTCTAGATCAACTGTGTTAACAGGTCACTGGTAAGGTACTCCTAGATCAACTGTGTTAACAAGTCACTGGTAAGGTACTCCTAGATCAACTGTGTTAACAAGTCACTGGTAAGTACTCCTAGATCAACTGTGTTAACAAGTCACTGGTAAGGTACTCCTAGATCAGCTGTGTTAACAAGTCACTGGTAAGTTACTCCTAGATCAACTGTGTTAGATCATCACTGTGTTAACAAGTCACTGGTAAGTACTCCTAGATCAACTGTGTTAACAAGTCACTGGTAAGGTACTCCTAGATCAGCTGTGTTAACAAGTCACAGGTAAAATACCCCTAGATCAACTGTGTTAACAACTCCTAGATCAACTGTGTTAACAAGTCACTGGTAAGTACTCCTAGATCAGCTGTGTTAACAAGTCACTGGTAAGTTACTCCTAGATCAACTGTGTTAACAAGTCACTGGTAAGTACTCCTAGATCAACTGTGTTAACAAGTCACAGGTAAAATACCCCTAGATCAACTGTGTTAACAAGTCACTGGTAAGTACTCCTAGATCAACTGTGTTAACAAGTCACTGGTAAAATACCCCTACGTGAGCTGTGTTAAGAAAACAAATGAAGAATGAAGTAATAGGAAATGGAACTGATGTGTTCTGTATATCTGTTATAGAGTTGTTTAGGGATTTACAGTTTATTTGAAAGGAAAAATAGACATTGTTGGTGATCCAGATACTGCTATGACATGTATTTACACTTGTATTTTGTAGTTGCCTACTCCTCCTCCCAGTGTTCAATATCCACTGGATGGGGGCAAAGTCCTGAACATAACTGGAAAAGTCAGGTCAGTACATGTTAGTGTTACAATACTTAACATAAAATCATCACATGTCCAAACTGACCTTAGGAAATATATTTTGATGTTGACATAGCTTTAAAAGTCATTATAAATAGTTCTAAAAAGAAAGAAAGGGGGGAAAAATCAAGAAATTTGCTAGCTTGTTCAGAATATATCTTTTAGAGTATAGTGTGGGGTTTCAAATCTGATTTCAAAGTAAATGTGTCCTCTATGAGTTGTTGTGGTCACTGTTTTGAGACTTTGTAAATGCTTTGAACAGAGAACAAAGCTGTGAAGTACTGTTTGAACAGGATAACGAGGAACAGTCTGTGACTACCTCCATTTTGGATGCCATCCTCAAGGTGGGTGTGAATAATGATGTATTTTTACATATCTTGCTGTGATCTGTGGAATATGTAATTTTGTTGTATATTAACTGGTGTAAATCTGTACACCCTCAGAGACCAACAGGGATAATGTAATGACAATCAGAGGGTATCATTTATGATCACACTGATAAATTCATGTTCACGCATCATACAGAGTTTCCTTATACAAAACAATTGCCAAAGGATTGAGTTTAAGTTAAAAGGTATCTCAGAAAGAAGAATTAGGCATTTATCATTGTCCTACAAATGTATGCTGCCTTGTGTTAGTCTGCTGTAAACATGTTTTCTTGTCATTCTTTCTAGCACAATATAAAAGCTAATTTGATATAGTTATGGCATGTACCTTTTAAAAACAAAAAATGAAGAAAGAAATAAAAAAAATCTCCCAAGTTACTTAAATCTTAGACAATATTAGTTCCATACAAAATGTGTTGCCTGTTGATTCAGTGTCCAATAGACATGCGTTTGGAATTGGCGAGTAATATTGTGATCATTGGCGGCACATCAATGCTGAAGGGTTTCCACCATCGTGTTGGATCAGAACTCTACGACCTGCTCAGGAAACCCAAGTACAAGGAACAGTTATCCATCCAGACATTCAAATTCCATAAGCTGCCAGCTAAGGAAAACTATGCTGCATGGTTGGGGGGTAAGAACATGTTATTGGCTTTAACCTGACATTGTCCTCATTAATGATAAATACTCTCTGCTTTGAAAACTTAACCTGCATCAGTTCATCTCATCAATGAAAAAAGACTATACAGAGAAAAAACTCAATAATGCTTATATACCTTAAATGTTATTTATGAAAAATTCAGAAAGTGATTGGACATTGTCAAAATAAAGGGTCAAATGAAGAGAGTCTGGAATCATTTCAAATATCTTCCCTTTTTTCTATTAGGTGCTATGATGGGTTCGTTAGAGACTTTACCAAGCCGATCAATAACAAGGGACAGTTATCAACTCTCTGGGAAGCTGTCAGACTGGTGTACCATCACAGAGGAGGTGGTGTAAGGCTGAGGAATAGAATCTTATACTTTTGTGATCTTAGAACTGATACTATTGATGTAAAGGATTCAAGTCCCTTTGAGTCTGGGATCAGTGTTCGTAGTGTTATTATAACAGTGCAATATTGTTGTTATTAAGTGTACTTCAAGCTGCCTACTGTCAATGTCTTCTAAATGACTGTTCATATGAACACACCAGAAAGTTTCTGGTTGGTTCTACATCCTGTGAGACCCTGGCTGCATTTACTTAATGTGAGACCTTGGTCATATATACGTCCTGTGAGACCCTAGTTGTATGTACTTCCTTGGAGATCCTGGTTGTATATACTTCCTGTGAGACCCTGGTTGTATATACATCCTGTGAGATCCTGGTTGCATCTACATCCTGTGAGACCCTGGTTGAATTTACTTAATGTGAGACCTTGGTCGTATATATACTTCCTGTGAGACCCTAGTTGTATATACTTTCTGTGAGACCCTGGTTGTATATACTTCCTGTGAGACCCTGGTTTTATATACTTCCTGTGAGATCCTGATTGTATATACATCCTGTGAGACCCTGGCTGCATTTACTTAATGTGAGACCTTGGTCATATATACTTCCTGTGAGACCCTAGTTGTATATACTTCCTGTGAGATCTTGGTTGTATATACTTTCTGTGAGATCCTGGTTGTATATACGTCCTGTGAGCACCTGGTTGTATATACTTCCTGTGAGACCCTGGTTGTATATACTTCCTGTGAGACCCTGGTTGTATATACTTCCTGTGAGATCCTGGTTGTATATACTTCCTGTGAGATCCTGGTTGTATATACTTCCTGTGAGATCTTGGTTGTATATACGTCCTGTGAGGTCCTGGTTGTATATAATTCCCTGGTTGTATGCGTCTGTCCTGTGAAACGCAGTAGTATATACTTCCTGTATCCTGGTTGTATATTCCTGTGAACTTCCTGTCGTGGTTGTATATACTGGTTTAATCATTTCAGAAATTTAAATCGTTGATATTTTTTAACAATTCATGTTCACAAAGCCCATCCTGGTATGCTCCAATACATAGGTATTTTTGTGGGATATTGTAATTGATGCACACTGTTTCTTATGGTGGTGATTTCTATGTGGTGTAGGCTTTAGTGCTTGTAATTGGTTAACCAGGGATAGGCTGCTGTTCTTGTTTGATACAAGTTAACATTATGCAGATATTTAATGCACAATAAATCAATCATGATATGTGAATTTGTTGTTGTGTTTTTATTATTAGCCCACCATCTAATAGATGGTGGGTTATTCAAATCACCCTGCGTCCGTCGTCTGTCGGACGTCCGGACGTAAACAATTCTTGTTACTGCTATTTCTGGAAAAGTACTGGATGGATCTTTCTCAAATTTCATATGCAGGTTCCCCTTGGTCCCTAGTTGTGCATTGTACCTTTTTTGAACTGATTTGCATTCAAGATGGCCGTCAGGTGGCCATCTTAGATTTTGGAAGTAAAAGTTTGTTACTGCTATTTCTTGGAAAGTACTGGATGGATCTTTCTCAAATTTCATATGCAGCTTCCCCTTTGTCCCTAGTTGTGCTTTGTACCTTTTTTGGACTGATCCGAATTCAAGATGGCCGACAGGTGGCCATCTTTGATTTTGGAAGTAAAAGTTTGTTACCGCTATTTCTGAGAAAGTACTGGATGGATCTTCCTCAAATTTCATATGCAGTTTCCCCTTGGTCCCTAGTTGTGCTTTGTACCTTTTTTGGACTGATTCGAATTCAAGATGGCCGACAGGTGGCCATCTTGGATTTTGGATGTAAAAGTTTGTTACTGCTATTTCTTGGAAAGTACTGGATAGATCTTTCTCAAATTCCATATGCAGTTTCCCCTTGGTCCCTAGTTGTGCATTGTACCTTTTTTGGACTGATTCAAATTCAAGATGGCCAACAGGTGGCCATATTGGATTTTGGATGTAAAAGTTTGTTACTGCTATTTCTTGGAAAGTACTGGATGGATCTTTCTTAAATTTCATATGCAGGTTCCCCTTGGTCCCTAGTTGTGCATTGTACCTTTTTTGGACTGATTCGAATTCAAGATGGCAGACAGGCAGCCATCTTGGATTTTGGAATTAAAAGTTTGTTACTGCTATTTCTTGGAAAGTACTGGATAGATCTTTCTCAAATTCCATATGCAGTTTCCCCTTGGTCCCTAGTTGTGCATTGTACCTTTTTTGGACTGATTCGAATTCAAGATGGCCAACAGGTGGCCATATTGGATTTTGGATGTAAAAGTTTGTTACTGCTATTTCTTGGAAAGTACTGGATGGATCTTTCTCAAATTTCATATGCAGTTTCCCCTTGGTCCCTAGTTGTGCATTGTACCTTTTTTGGACTGATTCGAATTCAAGATGGCCGACAGGTGGCCATCTTGGATTTTGAATGTAAAAGTTTGTTACTGCTATTTCTTGGAAAGTACTGGATGGATCTTTCTCAAATTTCATATGCAGGTTCCCTTTGGTTCCAAGTTGTACATTATACCTTTTTGGACTGATCCGAAATCAAGATGGCTGACAGGCAGCCATCTTGGATTTTGAGAGTAAAATCTTGTTACTGCTATATCTGAGGAAGTACTGGATGGATCCTTCTGATATTTCATAGATATTGGTTTCCCTTGGTCCCTTGTTGTGCATTGTACCTTTTTTGGACTGATTTGAAATCAAGGTGGCCCACAGGCAGCCATCTTGGATGTCGACAGTAATACAGCACAAGCATATTGTCCATTATCCACCTGTAACTGACTGCTATCTAATAATACTTTGGGATCTTTTTAAATGATATTTGCTAATAGGTGCTTAATAAAAATATCTTGTGCCATCATTGAGTACATTCAATGAAGACCAGTTCATGAACATTTACAACACCTGTAACAAACAAAAAAAAAACAAATATTCAAGAACTGAAAACAGATCCTCAAATGGTGGGCGCCAAGATCCCTCTGGGATCTCTTGTATTGTATAAAATCTATTGATCTGTTATCCTCATAAACTCCTGGGATCTTTCTTCCTTTCCCAGCACTGGTAAAGGTAAACTCTACATATCTATTGTGTTTTGGTGTCTATATATAGATATTTCCTGGTACAGGTAAACACTACATATCTATTGTGTTTTGGTGTCTATATATAGATATTTCCTGGTACATGTAAACACTACATATCTATTGTGTTTTGGTGTCTATATATAGGTATTTCCTGGTACAGGTAAACACTACATATCTATTGTGTTTTGGTGTCTATATATAGATATTTCCTGGTACAGGTAAACACTACATATCTATTGTGTTTTGGTGTCTATATATAGATATTTCCTGGTACAGGTAAACACTACATATCTATTGTGTTTTGGTGTCTATATATAGATATTTCCTGGTACAGGTAAACACTACATATCTATTGTGTTTTGGTGTCTATATATAGATATTTCCTGGTACAGGTACAGGTATCTCTGGATCTATTTTATGTGATATTTGCTTTATGATAATTTGCAGAATGAGGATTAAAATAAGAGAAAATGTTTCACATTTTTTCCTGAATATTCTAGTAGTCAAACAAATAAGACACGGTGTTGCACCTTCAACACCTCCATTTCATCTTCTGCAATTGTTTGCTTTGGTATGTTTCATGTTTAGAATTTTTATTTTACATTGGTCAAATCCTGTATACCGCAATTATGTTGTCTATAAATCAAGAAATGTTCATGAAACGGAAGTAATCAGATTCCAACGTCACGGGAACTTAGCAAAACATTAATTCATTTTCAGGTTTGAAAACAAGAAAGCTATTATTGTGTATGACTCTGACCAGTAATTAATTTAAGCCCATAAAGACAATTCATTTAGTTTGATAACGTTATTTTCAATGATGCATTTTATTTACGTTTCGTGATTAAGAGTTTTAAAATGAAGAAACGATCTAGATACCGCAGTTAAGCGATTGGGATTTCACCCACTTTCTTGCCAGTGGCAATGATTATGCCGTATTGTTGAAAATTCACCTGTGTCCTGTTGTAGACATCTTTGAATACTGCTGGGTCATCTGTCTGATAGCTTCTAGCTCTACTTTATATTGTGCCCTGATCAAAGCCTTCCTCTCCTCATCGCTGTACCCAAACGCAGACCCGCTGTTAGCGGCACTTGACCACAAAGATGTATTGGCGGGAGTACACGGTGTTGGCGGTCGGACGGCGTATTGGTCATATCGGCGCACGTCATTGTTATCCAACACTGGGTCTTCTGTGGGCAGTGTGCTCTGATCACGAAAGTATGTATGTACTCTATTAGGGTTCCTCCATGTGTTGGCTGGCATGTGATCGCTGATTCGACGGGACACTTCTGTACATGGAACGACGTTGATTCCGCTACCATGGGAATGAAGACGCCACAGAAGGTGTGGGTTAATGGTCCGCTCAGCCCTGCTTTGACTGTGGCCGCCAAACACCACGTGTTTTACCTGCTGTTTTGGTCGGTGAGGTTTCGTAGTCCATGTTTGACCTGTTGAGCTGCCGTCTACACGCCTGCCTTCGCTTCTGGCTTCTTGGTATTCCCGGCTGGTCTGGGGATGCACAAGTTTTGCTTTTGCATAAGGAAACTCAGACGTTTCGACAAAATTGCTTTCTTTTGATTTCGCTTTCTGTTTGTTTTCCTGTTTTGATTCATATCTCTCTTCTGAAACTTTTCCGGGTGACGTACCGCTGTCGACGGCGCTGATTGGGGACTGGTCTCCCTTTTCAGAAGATAAATTTGTCGGTTCATCTATATCCGTAACGGTAGAACTGCTGGAAGCTGCCAATGAATGCCCGCTGTCCTCACAATCCGAGGAGAAATTCGATGGTGTTCTCTCACTAACACATTTCACTTGGATATTTTTTGGTTGCTGTTTTGTTGGAGAAGCCCCCATTTGTTGTCCCGCGCTCCCCCTCTTGAGTCACATGAGTGTTGTTTCTCTGGTCCGCTGTTGACGAGGAGTAAACACGGGCGTTAGCGCCAGTGATAAGCACAACCATCAATACCAAACAATCACCAATTGTGACGTCATTAGACAATTGCTGCAGTCATATGACGTAACGTCGAAACCATGTGACATTATTACCTTGGTGATATATCGAAACGATATAAAATGGATGATGGATAAACTACCACTGCGGAATTGTGAACTCAGGGCTAAACGATTGCTTAAAAAGAGAAAAAGGACGCTGGACTTCTATCTTTACGATTTGGAGTACAACATGGGATCAGCAGCCAGCACAAAAAGTAAGGATAGCGATATAAGGGACGACTCGGATTCTCAACTCGAACCAGAACAAAGTGAGATTATTATAAAGGACGAGAACACAGAACTCGACCTACGTTGCGAAAGTACCAGTCCGCTTCATTTAAGACGTTCAAATGTCAGTTTAGAAGAAGTAGATGTTTCAGTTGACGATTGTCGAAATGATCTTGGAAAGAAGCAGAAGACGAATCATGTATATAATGGAGTGGGTCTCCTTCAAGAAACGCACATCACCCGCGCACGGCATACCTCCAAACGTTTGGGTACGCCATTTGTTGGTCACGGCATGCCAGTGGAACCGCCAATCAGACACGAGTCCTTCACCAATACGAAAGGTGTTAATTTACTACAAATACATGAACAGTCACCTTGTCAAATGAAAAGAAACGGTACTGGGGAAGTTTCAGATGATAGATCGGAATCACGGCTCGCAAGAAGCATGAAAATGAATAACACCGATATCCTCCGGTCAGGGAGAAACGACGTGTTTGACAATAAGCCGTTCTCAAATATACGTGACTTGGATAGAGAAACCCTAACACTGCACCATGTGTCACAAAGAAA